TATAAATACTTTATACAGTAGTCCAGGCTTGTTCTTATTATAAAATAGGTTTGCAGTGGCAACCTGCAGACAGGTGTGAAAGAGTACAGTTCGGTGCATTCTAAGAACTGGAGATTGAAGGAAACCAGTCAGAAGTCAAAGGCCTGGAGATCACTGCAGCACTGTGCAAGATGGCATCGTGAAGCCAAGCTCTGGGCTGAAGGGCTGAAGATTCCAAGGCAGTGGCAAAGACTGGTGCTCATCCACAGACACAGAAAGAAAGCCTTCCTTTTTCTTTATCTTTTCTGTCCATCCAGGCTATAAGCCCATTGTTTGGTTCCACCCACACCCAGAGTGGGTATTTTCCTCTTTAATTACTCCAGCACCCACCCCGGAGCTGTGCTAAGTCAATCCGATGGGCATTTCATATTCAAGTGGACACCACAGCTAACTATCACATGGGAAGGTTACTGTATTTAGTAATTGCCAATAGAAAGTTCTACCATGTATATCTATGTATTTCAAGAAAAACCGGTGGTGTAGCGGCGTTTCCACCTGCCGCAGGCAGCGCGAATCAGCTCGCTGGAGCCGGCTACGGTCTGTCACCAACCCGCGCCTCAGCCTCCGGCCGCGCGGCCGGATAAGCGGCGCCGTGGAGCTGGAGCCCGAGGTGCTACTGCAGGAGGCCCGCGAGAACGTGGAGGCGGCGCAGAGCTACCGGCGGCGGGAGCTGGGCCAGCGGCTGCAGGGACTTCAGGAGGTGCAGAGGCAGATTAAAGAGAGTGTGTCACAGACACGGAATGTCCTCAAGCAGCATTTCAGTGATTTGAAAGAGACCCTTGGGAAGCTCCTGGATGAGCGTCTGGCGACTCTTTTGCAAGAGGTAGACACCATTGAGCAGGAGACCATTAAACCACTTGATGACTGTCAGAAGCTCATAGAGCACGGAGTCAGCACTGCAGAAGATTTAGTCCGAGAAGGTGAGAATGCCATTCTTGGTGGTGTAGAGGAACAGAATGAGAAGCTGTGGAGCTTTACCAAAAAGGTTTCACACATTCAATTGCACAGCTTACCGGAAGTGCCTTTGCTGGTTGATGTGCCTTGCTTATCTGCTAGTTGGACGATTCCATTCTTAACATAGTGAAAGACCACATTTTTAAACATGGGACAGTGGCGTCCCGTCCACCAGTACAGATAGAAGAGCTGATAGAGAAGCCTGGGGGCATCATCGTCCGATGGTGTAAGGTGGATGACGACTTTACAGCACAGGATTACAGGCTTCAGTTCCTTAAATGTACTTCAAATCATTTTGAAGATGTATATGTAGGCTCTGAAACTGAATTTATAGTACTGCACAAAGACCCTAATGTTGATTATCAGTTCAGAGTCTGTGCCCGAGGAGATGGCCAGCAGGAGTGGAGTCCTTGGAGTGTCCCCCAGATAGGTCATTCCACATTGGTGCCTCATGAGTGGACAACTGGCTTTGAGGGGTACAGTCTGAGCAGTCGAAGAAATATAGCACTCCGGAATGATTCTGAATCCTCAGGTGTTCTCTACTCCAGAGCGCCAACCTATTTCTGTGGGCAGACATTAACATTCAGGGTTGAAACTGTGCGGCAGCCAGACCGCAGAGACAGCATAGGAGTGTGCGCAGAGAGGCAGAGCGGGTGCGAGTCTCTGCAGCGGGACCAGGCAGTGTGCGTCAGCACCAATGGTGCAGTTCTTGTAAATGGAAAAGAAATGACTAACCAGTTGCCTGCAGTTACTTCTGGATCTACTGTCACATTTGACATCGAAACTGTGACTCTTGGAACGACCAGTATTAATGAAGGAGGAAACTTTAAGCTCCCAGTAACTATTAGCTCAAGTAACAGAGAAGTGGTTTTTGATTGGTTATTTGATCAGTCTTGTGACTCCCTTTACTTTGGGTGCTCGTTTTTCTATCCTGGATGGAAAGTGTTAGTATTTTAGAGTTTGGGGTGCATCACTTCGGTTTGAGAAGTTGGCTATTGCTGTCCTTAGCCCAGTCTAGTTGTAACTGGTTAAAGGGAAGTTGAATTCATCTCTCAGGCCTCTGAAAATGGAAGGTGTTTACTGGATTCATTTGTAATACAGTATTTTAACAATAAGAGAATTGAATGGTATGGACAAAACTGTACTTCTGTCAATTTTGTTATTAGCATATTGTTAATTAAAAGATCACATTACAAGAAAAATCCAGGAGGATACAGAAAGTCTTATACCCTCCTAGTTCTTCTTATACTTAGTTATTGGGATAGAAGAGCTGAATGTAACATTATTTTTTATTAAGTCTCCATCAAGATTTAAGTCCTTGTACAACTTTGGACTAAAACAACAGGAACAGACCTGACAGAAGAGAGTTCTGTCCCGTGTGTCCACTCACGTGTCCTCCATGAGGATGGCACCTGTGCTCCGGCATTCAGGTATCTGAAGCAGTGCTGAATGCTAGCCTGTGTTCAGGGATCTGTGTGTCAGGATCCTTTCTGCATTTTACACAAGGCCTGAGCATGTGTCTGTAGTAGACAGGTATCATCTTTTGCTCTTTCCTTGCAGTTTGATTCAAGATAGGCTTGAGAGTTTGTGCAGGATAAAGCTCCGTAGGGCACAGCAGTGTTAGCTGCTGGGCATGTGCAGTTTCAGTGGTGTGTGTGCATCTGTTTGTGGTATGTGCTGTATAGTCCAGTTTAATGTCAGTTGATGAATGGTCTTTTAGTGGACCAAAGAAATACAGGTTTGGGGCTAGAGATATAGCTCAGCAGCATAAATACTTTCCTGGCTAGCACAAGGTCCTGAGTTTGATCCCTGGTACCGCAAAAAAAGGAAAAAGAAAGAAAGAAATATAGGGTAACCTGGGTGTGCTGGTGCATTCCT